AGCTGGATGTGCGATTAAAAGATGAACCTGATTATGGGGTTTGAAGGCGAAATATTTATTAGATTGATAATGATTCTAAACTTTCAGTCCATTTGATGATGATCCAAATGCAACTTGACATTGGAAATTGTTGTCTTATGAAAAACAAGTAAAAAATACATTATTGCATTTTCTGATGAAGTGCCAAACTGAATGAGGCACTAACTTAAATGTAGTTTTCATCGGTTATTTATTCAGCTAAATATTTTTCTTGTTTATATTCAATTTGTAGTCGAAATGGATTAAAATATGTATGTACGGTGTCGAATCCGAGTCAGGATCCCCTACGGTCTTGCATCTGAAGATGGTAAAGAGCCTGCCTGAGACACTGAGCTTCGGCTATTTGTCACTCTGTTTTGATTAGGAACCTTTTGGAACCGGGATTATGCTTAGAATTCAGACGGTGCAGCTATGTATTAAGTCTAAAGTTAAACAGTAAAGTAAGTTATAGAGCAATTTATGTGGTGGCTACACATTGCTGTCTTGAACCTTGGATCGGTAACCGGAGATCACTAATTGTGATTCAAGAGGCCAGTTAATTAATACCTCGCTCTATACCTATTCAAATGTTCACTTACAGAACATGAAATGCATGAAAAGAAAAGAAACTTAAATGGCGACAAATTATGCAGGTGTTAGAGCTGCCAAAATTGCAAAGAATAGAAAATTTCCTTCATATTTTAATTTTTAACCAACTTTATGATATACATATTGTCCGATTGATTTTTTAAATTCCCGTAGTACCTTATGAAGTAATGACTGAGAACTGCGGTGCGTATAAACTATAAGAAACTTGGCGCTCTGGAAGTCACAAAGACAAAAATTTACAGTTCGGTAACGATGCAACAAACAGGACCGGTTTCAGCTGGACCTCTTAGTCTTCATCAGTGATATTATTTTCGCAGTCCATTATCGGCCCATAAGGACATTTTAAAGATAGTAAAAGTTCTGAAACAACTGATTCATCTTTTGAAATTGCCCGCAGTATATATTAAAGAATGTGGTGTGTCATTGAGGTTTCAATCGGAACAAGCGCTGACTTTAATATTCATCAACTTCATTAACCTAATATATATTTTTTAAATCATGTGCTGAACTGAATTCCGCCACTGCCGGTTATAAATCCAGATGCGAATGCAGAAGTTGCAAACCGTGGCGTAGTCTCCGTAAAATTTATCTATGTGCCCTTTCCATGGTATTTCCGTCATCAAGCAATTTACCGGCTCGGTCGCTGCCCGGGTTATTAAGAACCACTGTTGTGGAACTGACGCATGCTTCGTAAAATCATCGACCAGGACCTGTTTATCGATTCTAGCAGCGGGTAGCGCAGCAACACAACAACGGCTGGCGAAGATCGACGAAACGAAGACGAAGATATCAACCAGGAACTGAGACCGCGCTACTTATTCTGAACGAAGGAGGTAGACAACGCCACGCCATTAGAGTACGTCAGATAAGGCTGCATGGGTACAATATCGACAGTGTTAAATTACAGTCGGAAATTGAAAAATATCTTCATTCAGAAGAAAAAAGCAGGAGCTACTTGGTGAAAACAGAAGGTACTAACTCGACATAGTTGGACACTCAAAAAAAAACGCTAAGGCTCTCTATTTTGAACCTCTTCGGGTGGGATGGTATTATACTCGGGTAGTTGACATTACTACACGCGCTCAGGTCGGTGTCGCTGTCCTGGTTGAACCAAACCAGGCTAGAAAAATCGTTGCATGGAAGCCTGTTAGCGAAAGAGTAGCAGTCCTCTGACTATAGCTGCAACAGGCTCAAGCGTAGAACTTCTACAGGTTTATGAACCCAGTTTTGAGGGTGAATATGAGTTCTTACATGGAGAAGTAGGGTATACTTTGTAATAAATGCCGACTACGGAGATCTGCATCCTGACTTGCATTCTAATGGGCGACTTCAGTGTGCATGTGTGAGCGTGCCCTGAATTGCCGAGGGGCG